ATGCATACCAACGGACAAGAAGTGAGGTTATATTGTTTCATCTTTTTTTATTCGCGAGAAATTCATTTATACTTTTTCCAAATTTTTAGAGAGTGCAGCAGCGTCCACTACTTTGAGAAGTAATTATCTCATTACAATAAACAAAAAAATATATTTCAAAGGATCTGCCATAGCTTCTCAGAACATCAAATAACTTGTTTTGGCAATTAAGTATCCGAAATTGTTCCTAATTCCGACGCAGCTGGTTAATCTTTCTTTACTATTTTAAGATCTATATTCAATTAGTTACTATTATTCACATGCCACTTATGAAAGATCCCAGAGTCCTTACAGACCAGGGCGCATCTGTTTTGAGGTAGATGTGAGAAGGGGCAAACAATTTTTTTCTGGGTTACCTACAGTACAATTCACATAATAAAAGTGTAGATCCCTAGGTCTGTGCGAGGTCCGGAACATTTTCAAAATTGCAAAAATGTTTAAAAAACAAAAAAATACCTATTTTATATGAGTTTTTTACTAATATCTTGGAACCTATTCATTTTGGTAGAATATCGAAGAGGAAAGTTTTAGAATTGAATTTTGCATAACATACTGTTAAAACTTTAACAGTATGTTATGCAAAAGGTTAAAATGTTTAAATTTATTACCGATTTTGCAAAATAGCAATAATTGATGAAAAAAAAAGGTAAAATAATAAAGATTTTTGGATAATTTTTTTTAATTATTTTATTTGCTCCGAAGGCATTCTAATTTTGGTAAAAGAAAACTTTAGAGTATAATAAAACAACACACCAAGTTTAATTAAAATCGGTTAGACAGTTTTCGCAAAATAATTTTTTGAAAAAAATTTAAAAAAAAAATTTTCAAATAAAGCATATAGATACTTGAAATTTTTTTCACATAGAAGAGACCGCTCAACCTTTCAAATGGTTTTTGAAAAATTAAAATCGGTTGATTAGGACGGCCACAGTAAATTTTAGTTAATACTCTTTTTTTTTATTTTTAAACAATTAGATTACATTTATCAATATGCAATTTTTCAAAAAATTTTTTTTAAAAAGGAAGCGTCTTTCCAAGTACTTTAAAATTATAATTTTTGAAAAAAAAAAACTAAATTACAAATTGATAAATGTAATCTAATTGTTTAAAAATAAAAAAAATGTGTGAACTTTAAAAATTTACTGTGGCCGTCCAAATCAACCGATTTCAATTTTTCAAAAACCATTGGAAAGGTTGAGTGGTCTTTTCTATGTGAAAAAATTTTTCAAGTATCTGGATGCTTTATTTGAAGCTGTGCAACATTTTGAGAATTCGAAAAATTTTTTCAAATAATTATTTTGCGAAAACTAGAACCGATTTTAATGAAATTTGGTGTGTTATTTTATTATACTCTAAAGTTATCCAAAAAACTTGATTATTTTGCCTTTTTTCATCAATTATTGCTAATGCAACATCGGTAATAGATTTAAACATTTTTAACTTACAGTATATTGCGCAAAATTCAATTCTAAAACTTTTTTCCTCTTCGATATTCTTCCAAAATGAATAGGTTCCAAGATATAAGTAAAAAAATCGGATAAAATAGATATTTTTTTAAACATTTTTGCAATTTTGAAAATGTTCCGGTCCTCGCCCAGATCTAGGGATCTACATTTTTATTATGTGAGTTGTTCTGAAGGTATCCCAGCAAAAATTAGCTTGCCCCTCTTACATCCAAGAAGTGGGATATTTCGACAGATCCGCCCTGGTCTATTATAGGAATCATTATAAGAAAAATGTTTACCTGTTTGTAACCTTTCTGTATCAAGTCTCACCACTTTTAATATCAAATACGTTTTTAGTTAATTATTGAATTAACTTAAAGTGGAAGTAAAAATAGTACTTTAAGTCAATGTAGCCCTGTTTCTTTAATATTACTCTTCTTTGAACTCAAATGTTTCTTCTTCATTTGATGGTTTCTTTGCTAATTCAATGTATACAGTAAAGTAAAATTTCTACAAACCTTTCAACAGTTCGTCATTCGACCGTCTAATGCCTGCCACTATTTCAGCTACGTTTAAAATAGCACAAAATTTTGGAAGTTAACAAAACAAACATTTACTGCACCTTTAAATACAGTAGAGCGAAAGTTTTGGTTTTGATGCCAAATTTTAGAAGTATTTTCGCTGTACTGTTGTTCTCTCGTTAACTTCCTGTTGGTTATATGTCTAATAAAGGTTAAATATCTCAGTTAAGAATTTCTTTTTCCGGTAAAGAATGTCTCTTTTGTCAAAGCTTAAGCAGAAAATACGATAAATTTGTTTCTTCTCAGATTTGTAGTACTACTAATGTTACGTGTTTGATTCTGACAATGAACTTTAAAATAAACTTAAGCAATATAGAATCCGGATATTAAAATATAAATGACAGGTTTTCAATTTTTTTCTGAGTTGGTATAGCTAATGCCTTAAATTCGGTTGGAAATTAAAATTTAAAAAAAAACTGTCTGTCTATACAGGGTGTTAGTAAATAAGTGCGACAAATTTCAGGGGGTGATTCTACATGAGAAAATAATGGCAGTTTGCTTATAAACGTATGTTCGCAAATAATTCGTTTTCCGAGATACGGGGTGTCAAAGTTTTTCTTAAAAACTGACGATTTAATTTATTGCTCTGAAACCGGTCGAGATGTGCAAATGAAATTTGGTGGGTTTTAAGAGGTAGTTATTGCGCATTTTTTGACACGCAATTAAGAATTTTATGTTCATCATTGGCGCGCGTACGGGTAANCAGTGGCGTACCATTTTTTTCTTTAAAAAATTGAGATTATTACCCGTACGCGCGCCAATGATGAACATAAAATTCTTAATTGCGTGTCAAAAAATGCGCAATAACTACCTCTTAAAACCCACCAAATTTCATTTGCACATCTCGACCGGTTTCAGAGCAATAAATTAAATCGTCAGTTTTGAAGAAACACTTTGACACCCCGTATCTCGGAGAACGAATCATTTGCGGACATACGTTTATAAGCAAATTGCCATTATTTTCTCATGTAGAATCACGCCCTGAAATTTGTCGGACTTATTTACTAACACCCTGTAAAAATTATGTAAAGTGAATCCTCGATAACCACACATTTTATGCTTGATTTGTAAATATGTTGCAACAATTGCTAATATGAGGAAATAAGATTCCTCACGGAATAACTTCTAGTATTTTATTATTTTTAATTCTGGACTGGATTTTAATTTCATTGAGTTTACTGATATACAGGGTGTTACAAATTAGTAGCTCAAGCCATTAGCCACATGTGTATTTTTGGTTTAAAATATCAGAGCGCGAATGGAGTACCCATGTCTCCCTAATTTTTTTTTTAATAAGTACGCCTATGGTGTCAGAATACAGGATGATTCACAAATGGTAACCAAAAAGAAAACCTCGTATTCTTTGAATTTTAAGGGGAGTCTTTCCTGTTTTTTAGTTTTTATTCAGGACGCTTCGTTAAAAAGATACAGTGTTAAATTTCAAAAAATATTTTTAATTTTTTTAAATAAATTAAAAACTAGTAAGTGATATAATTTGAAATTGGGCACATGTATTTATGTAAACATTGTCCAAATTCTGAGAGGCTTTTCCTAAAATTTACATGCTCCAGTGCAGGAGATACAGGATATCGGTGGCATATTTTTCTAAATAAAATAGTCCGCCACTTCTTTACGGTAACAACCATGATGTTTTGGGATTCGTCTTTCAATTTTGTACAAATTACTACTCTCTTGTGTTTTTAACTTAAAAAATGAACTGAGAACACACTTCGATATTCGAATATAGTGCTTATTAAAATTACATAGTGGGTTGCGATAGCAACTTTGACATTATGAGCAGTTAGAAGAAAGAATAAATAATGCTTTTTATCAGAATTCAAGCAACAATTTCGAATAAATTACATTTTTGTTGCTAAAAAGATGTCGGGCCTGTGTTTGTGGAAATGGAAGTACTTTTGAGCATTTACTCAAATAAAATCATTTAAATTATTACTAATGTTATTAATTTCTTTATTCAGTTGGTTTTTTAAGTTTTACCCGAAAATCAGGCTTTTTTCAAAAAACATAAGAGTAGTAATTTGTAGAAAATTGAAAGACGAATCCGAAAATATCATGGTTGTTACCGTAAGGCAGTGGTTTACTATTTGATTTTAAAAAATATGCCACCGATACCCTGTAACTCCGCCACTGGAGCATATACATTTTAGGAAAAGACAATGTTTACATAAATACATGTACCCAATTTCAAATTATTTCACTTAAGTACTAGTTTTTAAATTATTTAAAAAAATTAAAAATATTTTTTTGAAGTTTAACACCCTGTATCTTTCTAAAGAAACGTCCTAGATAAAAACTCTATAGGAAAGACTCCCCTTAAAATTCACCAAAGAATACGAGGTTTCATTTTTGGTCACCATTTATGAATCACCCTGTATTTACACCATCCTCGGGATCCTTAACAATATCTATTGGCAACACCTTTTGATGTTTTTAAAGAGATGTGTTGCTCAAATTTTTATATTTCTAATTGGTACCATGTTTAGGAATTTAAGAACAAACAGGAAATTTTATAGACATTTACAAATAAGAATACAGTTTTCCGTATTCGTGATGCAATCGTGGGCCACATCTTATAACTAGTGTAATGTTATGTACTTTTACATAACACGACATGTTTAAAAAACAGTTATACTTAAAAAGAAAATAATTATCTTAAAAATATATTTTGGGTTTAATGAAAACAGAAAGATTATTTAATACGGAAACAAAATGATTCTGAAATGTCTGATTAAGCAAAAGTAATTTCTAATTATAAGCAATCCTTTCGACGCAAGGATTCATATATTCAATACTTTTTTTATTTTATCCGTGTTACAAAGTGTCCAATAAAACGCAACTATTTAAAAAATTCTACACGCCACACTTATACATAAATTTGGAAAAATATAGTTATTTAATTAAAAAAATACCTTACCTAAAAAATAACTGTTTTGAACCGCGTTGCACATACAACAACAATTCTAGTCACAGCAAATCTGCCTTCGATTTATGCATTGGAAAAGGTTTATTTTCAGGAGGTTATACTGCATTAATATTAATGCCATAAAAAATCTAAATTTAACACGAAATCAAAAACACTCTCGCTCTGTAACAATCAGAAAGTCAAATTCGTTTATAAAATATTAGCTCGCTTTTCGTTCAAAAATAAACACGCCGAATAAAATTAGCCGCCGAATATTCATCTCAGGATTCACACTGATTCAACACAGTACTTGGCTGACCTACCTCTTTCTGTACTCTGGCGTGCTGGTGGTGCTTGTACACCTTCAAGGTGTCCATCTGGTTCTCCATCGCGTCCTCGCGTTGTGTTGAAAGTACTAAACAAGTCGTACGGCGGTACTGGAGCACTGATACTCAACCGATTGACAGTTCTCGGCACAGGGAACTACTGACAACTACGCGCAAACTTCAACGCTGCGTGGAAATGTTGATTTGACTTAAGAGGCCGACGGCCGAAAGTTCGACCAGATTTGACAACTAAGGGCCTTTTCGACAATTAACAATATTACACAATATTTGATTCTGGACAATGTCATTACACTTTTAAACAACAAATTGTGTACGCTGCGCAAATATTGAATAAAGATTAAACCAGGAAATTTTCAATTTCATGTTGCTTTTTGAAGTGGATGGCTGTAGCTAGCGACAATACCTTGTCACTGCAACAATAAATTTTAAGGAAGAGAAGATGTATGTTCGCATTAATGTGTTGAATCAGTATATGACAATGCACTTACACGAAGCAAATAATACTTTCAACTTTAAAATGTTCATGTTCACGTAAAGTACTGCAAATAAATAACTTCAAATATCTACTAGCAGCAACTGTTTAACATTTACTAACGTACCTACTGCAAAAAGATGTGGCTAAATACAGACATGGATTCAGATTCGGGAGTTTTTTGGCTGGATCTATAATTTTTGAAGCTGCTTTGGATGATAATATGAAATCCTCGATAATAATTATGGGGGCCCGGGGGCAAAGCACCCCCCATCAAAATTTCTAGAAAAAAAATTTTTGTTCTACTATACCTCAAATTTTCCATCATTTTATTAAAATTTATTTTACGTGAAAAAGATATATTTGTTGAATATCCATAAAATAGATATTTTTTGAGATAAACCCGTTTATAGAGGAAGGTACCATTTAATTTGAGACATTTTATTTAACAGAAACACAAGTTTAATCGTAGTTGGCTTTTACATATCAGAATAAAGGACAAACAAAATTGCAATAGCAGTGTTCCAAATTATGAGAATTTGGACTTAACTAAACTAACTAACCGAAAAGTGCATGACAATCAAAATTTTATAAATAATATAATTCATAATAAATTCTCAATATTAGTTCCACCTTCTCTTATACAAATACAAGCCCGTTTAACAGAAGACTGTTGCACTCTCTATAACATTTCAGGATTTTGTCGTATTTCATTTGCACAATAAAAAATTCCTTTCTTCTAATTCTTCTGTAGTGGTTACAGGTGTGGAGAAACAAGATTTTTCAAGTGCCCCCAAAAGAAAAAGTCAAGTGGGTTCATATCTGGAGTTCGGGCAGGCCAATGAATAGGTCCACCGCGGCCTATTCAGCGATTGGGATATACCTCGTTTAAATGGTCCCTTACTGCAGCACTAAAGTGAGGCGGTGCCCCTTCGTGCATGAATATCAGTGCATTTCTGGTTTCAAGATCAACATCTTCTAACAGTTGTGGTAATTGATGCACAAGGAAATCTAGGTAACATTGACCATTCAGTCTAGGGGGTAACACAAATGGACCCAATAAGTAAGGACCAATAATTCCACTCCAAACATTAACATAAAATTGTCTTTGGTGCCTAGTTTCAATAATAGCGTGTGGGTTCTCATCAGACCAATAATGTAAATTATGGGAGTTAATAACTCCATTCCTCCCAAAACTTGCTTCGTCAGTATACAGAATTAATCTCGTAAACATAGGATTTTGCTCATGTCTCTGAAGAAACCATTGAGAAAACTGTACTCTTGCACGAAAATCATCAGGATTAAGAGCATGCACTTTTTGGATATGGTAAGGGTGAAGAAGCTGTTCTCTAAGGATTCTTGCAACAGTGGTCTTTGGAACATTGGTAAAAGAAGATAATGACCTAATGCTAACTGTTGGATGAGCAGCAACTTCGTCCAGTATATTTTCCTCTACTTCAACTGTACGTGCTGTTCGCGGGGCACCCCTGTTTGCAGTAACAGGAGCAAACTGACCTAAAGACATTAAAATTTATTTAATATCCATTTTGTTTAATAATAGTAATCGTATTTTACCAGTTTCTCTTAATCTTTGATCAATACGTTCGAAAGTTTTGCGATCCGGAATCCTTCTATTAGGATAAGAATGCTGATAAAATCTTCTTGCTGCCGAAGCATTACAAAGAGCCCGCCCGTACATTAAATGCATATCAGCATATTCTTCATTGGAATACTCCATATTTTATAACAAATTATGAGTTATGAGATGAGTCTTAGATTTAAAACTACGTATTTGACAAGTTTGACAATTTAATTGCCTTTGGCATACTCTGACATGTCAAAGCCAACCACGATTAAATCTGTGTTTCAATTAAATAAAATGTCTCAAATTAAATGGTACCTTCCTCTTTAAACGGGTTTATCTCAAAAAATATCTATTTTATGGATATTCAACAAGTATACCTTTTTTACGTAAAATACCATAAATTTTTATAAAATGATGGAAAATTTGGGGTATAGTGGAACAAAAATTTTTTTTCTAGAAATTTTGGTGGGGGGTGCTTTGCCCCCGGGCCCCCATAATTATTATCGAGGATTTCATATTATCATCCAAAGCAGCTTCAAAAATTATAGATCCAGCCAAAAAATTTTCAAAATTTATTGAAAAATACAAAAGTTGCAGCAAAAAAAACATTTTTAATTCTCAACTTCAAGAGCTAATAACTCTACAGGGTGAGCCCGGAGGAAAACAATTTATATGAACTTGTGACATTATTTTCTCATTATCTATCCATATCCGAGAGATTGCCCACCATTTCCAGGACACCCTGTATGTGTACCTATGATTCATCTAAGTACATCTCAATATCAATTTCAAAATGTAACAGCCATATTTGCGAGCTCTAAGTTTTTTCATTCAGAAGAATAAAAAAAATCGTAGCCTCTGAGTTTTTCCGCTTTTACGATATACAGGGTTGATTCACAACTTATCCAAAAAAATTCGGAATAGATGCGGCATGAAAAATATCGTAAAAAGAATTTGTAAAATCTTTATGGTTTCCGACAAAAAAATTATTGGAGTTGTAGTACTTTCCACCACTGCATCGCTGGACAACTGTAGTCTCTAGAGCCATTTGCGTTGTGCGCTTTACGCATTACGCGTGGAGAGCCACGTGGCCCCAGAGACTCCGAATACTGAAATCCGATTTTACAATTAGTATTAACATCACTGCGATAGTATTTACAATAGTTTTTTAGTAGTGAGTGTCAAAAATGGCTTACGTGTATAGCAAGTCGGAGTTGATGGATACTGTTTTAATTTATGGTGAAGCAAGACAACATTTGCGTTGTAGTTCGTAGAAACTGTGTAACACGGGTTCAAATGTGTTTACACGTCAGGGGATAAATTTTTGAACAGTTGTGGTTAACATCAGATATTATTTTATTATGTAAAACCACAAATTAATTTCATTAATTGATAATAACAAAAGCGGTGGAATTTGTTGATATAAAATAGGTGTTATGAAATTCTATTTATTTCTTTCCTTGCGAAAGTTTTTGTCCGTTTTTTACTACACTTCGCCTTGTGTAAGGTCAGGTTTTACAGTGGATCAGTTTCCAGTGCCGTGCAGAAGTGTATTTTTAAATCATTTTCGAACTGCCCTTTTTTATTTTTACAAAATTGTATTTGTACTCAAATTGATATCATGGAAATAGAAGCATTGAACCACCACTTCATCTTAGAAGTGAAATGTTCTATTAAAACAGACATCCAGGAATAATAAATTACTCAACAAAATTCATAACCTATCTATACTAGAACTTACGAACAGATATTGGCACCATAAGAAATTACCTCATTTAGTAGAGACCTGTGGATTTTTCAGTTCAAAGAAGAAATATATAAATCGACCAATATTCCCTGTTTTGGTATTAACTACCAAATGTACGAGAGCATACCGAAAATAACATTCATGGATTTACAAGATAACGAAAATATAAACAACATTACATTGCAGAGGCACCTAGTTACTAGATGGCAACATCAGTAACACATATTTACAGATGGTTCGGTAATAAACCACGAAACAGCTTGTGCAGTTTATCATGACAACGATAAAGTTTCCATGCAGTTTAGACTACCATCAAAAGCCAGCATATATACAGCGGAACTTGTAGCTATCAAAGAGGCAATCAAATATTGTGAAAAATATGAACTCAATCGCTATTCATCATCATCATCAACATCATATTCACGGACAGTAAAAGCGTCACTCTAGCGATCCAAAACGTCAACCCATCAACAAAAACCTCCCATCTAATCATTGATATCATTAAGATGTACAACGAGTTACGATCACTAAATAAAAACCTGGAAATAGTTTGGATAAAAAGTCACGCAGGAATCACGCAAAATGTATATGTAGAACACATACAATATAGCTTATCGCCACAGACTGCTTGTTAAATGATGGAAATTGGCAGCCTAAAATGGATGCAGGGTCTTCTTAGCCGGCTTCCAGCTATAAAATTTAGCGTGGTAACTCTTCTACTTGGTAATAGGCGGCAGTTCTAGCGGTGGCTTTGTTGCCAAATGATAACTGCCAAATAAATTCGATGTATTTAATTATGTAATTAAAGAGATATGGAACTTATTGGAAATCACATTTGCGATAAATGTTAAATAAAATAAATTAAGTTAGAATAAAACTATGAATTTACCTAATTAATTATTTATTTTATATCACCTTAGAATGGGAGAATTCAAAAAACTTGAAATTAATGTTTTTAGATTTGTGCGTCGACTCCCAGTTTAGTACGATAAAAACACCTATATTTAAAAAAAATTGTATTATACAGGTTGTGTATCCTTAGATGGGTACTGCTCTCTTATTGTTGATTTCTTTAATTAGGTAAAATAATTATTGACACAAGTGTTGCATATCATGGATGCCATTGGCAGTGCTCATATTTGTGACACAAGGTGTTCA